CTAGCACAGTTCCCCCAGACACTGCCTCTCTTAAGGGCTCCAGCCTCTAGGCAGATTCTAGAAAGGGCAGGGTCAAGGAGAATTCCAGGAGTTGGGGACCAGGGCTGTTTTGGGTGAGCAAGAAACCTGCCCAGCTCCCTCCCAAAACTACTCGGGGATGTCCCCTTCACCTGAAGCCAGCCCCACAGGAGAGACGTGGAGTATAGAAGTTGGGGGCAGTACACAAGGGGAGTGGTGCTCCAGATGGGGAGTGGTGGTAAGAGAGCTTGCCTCTTTGACAGGCTCGCTGCCTTCACTGGAGTCTGGGCAGGGGCAGAGCTCAATGCCAGAGTCACCAGTCAGACGGCGGTAGCGGCATGGGGGTGTGGAGGCAGAGCTCACTCCAACCCTAGGCATACCCTCCTGGTGAGGGGGGTCATGCTGGTGGCTTGGGACACCTTCCACATTGGTTCCCTCGCAGTGGGTAGGGCTGCTGGATGTCGGAGAGCTGTGGGTACATTCACTGGAAGCGGCTGAGGGGCGGCTGGGGCCCACAGTGTAAGGAGGTGGTGGTGTGCCCGGGCGGTGGACCACATCCTCATAGGCTGGCGGTTTGAAGGCGCTGAGGAGGCCTGCAGGGGAAAGAATGGCACGGCATGGTTGCTTGGTTAGAACCCAATCAGTGGTTCTAACCAAGTGGTCTCTTTCCTACCAGGGAACTGGGTGCTGTGAGATGTCTGGCAAAGGGAATGTGGGAGTGGTTTGGGGACCTAGATTGGGAGGAGCCACCGGTAGCCCAGAGACTGGCGTTACTCACGGAGGTCAAGCACTGAACCAGCAGGGACAGGGCCAGCCCCGTGGCATGCCCCATGGTAGGCCAACAAGTTGATCTCACGCTGCCGCTGCTGTTGTTGCAGCCGGAGCTTAGCCCGTCGGTGACGGAAGGCGCAACAGCAGCTAAAGAGGATGAGGACAGTCCAGAGCAGCCAGAACCCTGCAGGAGGTGAGGAAGGTGTGTCTTAGACACCTCCCAAGCCAAGAAGGTCCTCCGAGGCTGGCATTCTGAGGTTCCTAGGGAGGGTGGGTAGAGGGCCTGGAAGAGCTCCTTGGAGACTCACACCAAAGCTCGTAGTAGTAGGTGCAGCAGCCCGTCTCCCCACAGCAGTGACCGCTCTCACAGAGGTAGGGCTGGTTGTTCACTCCGGGACACAGTTCTCGAAGCTGGGGACGAGGAAGCACTTAAAACCACAGGTGATTCCAGTCCGAGGCACTGTTGCCCAGGACCCCTGCATGCGCACACAGAACCCCACCCCGTGAACCAAACTGCTTGAAGAGACCCTGGGAGGGATGGTGAGGGAGTACTCGAATGTCCAAAAAGGCCGATTTTCACTCTCCTATCAAGCTTCCTCTTAACCACTCAAGGCCAGTCCCCCAGGCTAAGGGAATGTTTTGTCAGAATCGGTAAGCTAGGGACTCAGATCTTGGGCAAGGGGCTTCAGGTTACTTTCAAAGCCAAGATGCTTACATCATCCCTGAGTCCACCCCCAACCCGGCCTGAGCTTGCCACCCCTGGGTCTCAGGCTCCCTAGGGTAGAGGAGGGGCAGTGTGAGAGCCAGAGCTGTGCTTCCCAACCAGATGGGACTGCTGTGGATGGTAAGGGCTGGCATCCAGGGTTCCAGCTCTTCTCCAAATTGCTCCCTCAAGAGAATATGCTGCCGGATTCTGTTGTGACAATAGGCATATAGAAAAAACATCACAAACAACGGTTGCAAGACATGGGGGCCTGCCTCTGGCCACTGGAGAGCCACTGCATCTGCCGCTGCGGCCAAGCGATGGGGTCTATGAGGCTGCGGGCGGAATCCACTGCTTCGACCTTACGAAGTTTAGACAAAGAGTGGAAGGGGCATGTTTGGAAACTCCCCCAGATCTTTAGCTCCGTGGGTTCCACCCCCACCCCTGTCAGAAGGAAGGGGCAAGGAAACATAAATGGCTGTAGTGACAGGCTTTTGGAGCTGCTGGGATACCTGCTGTTGCGGCGACCGAAGTGCCCCCCAGGCCTCCTCGCTGCTGTTCACGCCGCTGGCCCGAGCCATTCCTCCGCTTACAGCCCCCTGAAGACCAGAGCCGCCTCTATCGCCAGCCACCCCGCCCCTGCCACCTCTGCTGCCACCGCCATGGTCCCTGCCCGGCCCATCTTCGCTGCCGCCACCATCACTCCGTCGCAGGAGCTTCCATCCAGGGAGAGCTCGGCCAACTAGGTCCAGGTTGCTCTGGCCTACCAATCAACACGGCCCTTCAAAGGACCGGCCAATAGGGAGGCACCGGGGCTTCTCCCTGTGGCCAATCAAGAGCAGCGCCTCCGCCACTCTCCCAGACACCAGGAGCTTGCAAAGACAAAGAGTGGGGGGAAGGTTCGAAACGCGGCCTTGACAGACAGCAACGATAACCAATAGCGGACAACAGAGCAGGCTCCGGCCTTATGGCCCAATGAACAGTCGGCCAGAAAA